CGAATGTAAGTCCTGAATATAGCATGTTTCAGGTAGGAAAGTTAGAGAGCAATTCAAATCTTTGGCTAAGTGATTTATGGATAACAAATTACACTTAAAATTTGGAACATTTAGCACATCTTTCAGATCAAAACCATCTGAAAGGTGAACATCCCCACCATGCTTTATTGGTATAGATTCTCCATTGGAATAGTAACAGAAGAACTATCTTCATTTGGTTTGAGAGTTCTTAATAATTGCTTATGTGGAGTAATAGGTTCACTAGCACCCGAATCAATAATCCAAGAATTAAGTTTTTTGTTCTTACCAGTCATTTTTGCCTTTGGAGTGTTGGTAGTGGTTTTCACTGCTTTTAACATCTTTATGAGAGTTTCATATTCATATTTGGTGATGGATGATGAGCTTATTTCTTCTATGACAATGGCTGCATGTGCTTGTACCTTTTGTTTCCCGTTTGATTTTTTGAGGTTGATGTCTTTGTGTTCCACCATTCTGGATAGCCAACAAGTTCAAAACAACCATCAATAGTGTGTCCCTTTTTTTGGCAATGTGAGCACCGTCGGTCATCATTCTTTTCTGTTTTGTTGCGATCATCACGTCTGAAATTCTCAGATTTTACGGACTGTCGAGGAGTGTTCATTCTCGTTGCTTGAAACGTAGAAGTGTCGACTTTGCTGTTTCGAGAAACTCCAATTTTTCGTTGTTGTTCGGCTTGGTTAACAAGATGATGGGCATCATTCAAAGTGGGAATGGACTGGTTAGTATGCTCATGGGGTGTTTTCTTTGCCAAATCTCTCCTTTAGGTCGATCCATATGTCACAAGCGGTAATAGCATATTTCACACTATTTTTTTTATCTCCTTTTCGATGGAACTTACGAGCCATCCCCGCACCATAGCGTTGCATCTTTCCAGTTGGTCAAATCAACCAAGTCTTCTGTTGGCATGAAAAGAGTACCATCGACAAATCTGATTTTGTTCTTGGCGAAGAGTGCATTGGTCATCTCAGTCTCGTAATCACCATAATTGTGATCGCGTAGGAGATCCCCCCCCCCCCCAATGAAGTTTTGTCCGGGATGGTTTACTGATGTGAGGAAATAAGAAGAAGAGATGTCGATGGTGGGTTTGTCTCCTGAATTGGAGGGTTGACCTCCATCAGTCACCATTATTTAGACGTGAACAAAAACTAGGTTTGAGAACCCATGTATGCTCTGATACCATAATAAATCTGAATATGAAAATTGTTTTTTTTTTAACTTAATTGAAAACAGGAATACATGGGATTATTTATACTAGCTAATTTAAATAAATTATGATAAGGAGTCTAATACTTGGGGACAAAGAAAACTAATAAAAGGAAATAAAACTAACAGGAGGAAACTGATAAACATATTCCAATAGAGTTTTTTCGGGGGGAAAAAGTTCAAGGTTGTTTTGGGAAAAAAGTTGATAGTTTCTTTTTGGAAAAAAGTCGAGGGTGATTTTTTCCAGAAAAAAATTGTCTAAAACTGGAAGATTACTAATAAGCTTGCTAAAAGGGCCGAATTGGAAAACCGAAAAATACAACGTATCATTTAGAAAAAAAAGGTGATGTTTAATCATGAAAAAACATAATAAATAGGGTCTTTTATGATATAAACCACATAAATTAACTAAACTATTAAAACAATAACAATCAAAGGTCTTTGGCTTAGCGGTATGGAACGATTCTTTCAATTGAGAGGCCATGAGTTCAAGTCTCCTTGGAGAAATAGATGTTAATATGGGAGTAGATTAGTTTTCCGTTAAAAAAATATTAAAACAGTAACCAGAATTATGAAAACTTACATTATGTCGATCTAGCATGCTATTTTAGTCGAATATAACTTTTCGACATTGATTTCATCTATTAAAGAATTTGTTATTTTATTTGAGTTGCTTAAATTAATCAAAATCGAGGCGGTATGATTTGTTTTACTACATTCATAAATACGTTCCCGATCAAAACCATATAAAAACCGGGCCGATTGGCATGGGGAATACTTTCTTTGATTGCCAACATTTTTTGACTATTTAGAAAATGTGATATTGGAAATAAAAATGGATTTCTATAGAGAATATGAATGATATATGACATTAATAACATATAAAGAATAACTAAATATTAGTAAGAAACAACTTCATAAATTGATTAGTATAATAAATTACTAACACTAAGTTAATAACAAGAATATAAATATTTCTAATACCATATATATATCGAGAATATAATTATATTATTGTAATCAGCGCAATATATTTTTCATAACGTTAATCATCATATATAGTTTTATTCTTGTGCGATGCACGAGTTTTCGTCTAGTTTTGAAATTAAGTACGACCTTAAAAGTCACCACAACAATCTTACAATTAATAATAAACTTGACATCGGCAACAACTATGTTAAATCTTACCGAATATCCATAGCAACAAAACAATTAGTTAGCGGTTTTGAATTATAAGCCAATCAACCTAGAGTACAACAAACAAATATATAGTGATTGTAAATGGCAAGGTTTGTAATATCGATTTAAAGGTTTGGAGGGAATGGTAAGGGTGTAAGTGAGCCGAGCTACTCGTGAGCTACTCGGGACCGACTCGTTAAAAGCTCGACTCGAGATCGAATTAAACGAGCCTGAGCCGAGCTCGAGCCTAAATATGAGGCTCGTTTATTAAACGAGCTAGAGCCGAGCTTCAATTAGTGGGCTCGCGAGCCTAAACGAGCTTAAACGAGCCTACATACATACATACATACATACATACATATATATATATATATATATATATATATATATATATACACACACACACATATACATAGAGGCTCGTTTAGGCTCGATTAGGTTCACGAGCCCACTAAATTGTTCACGAGCCGAGCTCGAGCTTCATTTTAAGGCTCGAATCGAGCTCGAGCTCGAGCTTCCTTAAAATTAAACGATATGAGCTCGAGCTTGGTCAGGCTCGGGCTCGGCTCGGCTCGTTTACACCCCTAGAGAATGGTGACGAAAGAGTTGAAAACGATGATGTATAATTAGTCCTGTAATCATGTCAATGTTTCCAAATTCTCATTCTAAATATTAAAAAAATAAAGAAAATTCATTTTATCGGATATTGGATATCCGGAATATCTGAAAGTTTGAAAAATTATTATTCGCATCCAAATCCGAAATATCAGATATCCGAAATTTCAGATAATTTCTAAAAAGTCATTTAAACACCCGTAATAAAATGAGAAATTAAATATCCTCCTACATATCTTCTTAACCATATGAAATGATGACAAATGTTATATTTTGATAAAATTAATTATATTTTTGGACATTTGTCATCATTTCAAATGGGTAGGAAGATAATTAAGAAGAAAAGTATGATGATATTTAACTTCTCTAATAAAATATACACCTCTTCATCACTTTTAAAGGAATGAACGGGAGGGATTCACCGGAAAGAAAATGAAATGTAATAGAAATAAAAGTAAAGAGTAAATTACACGAATGGTCCCTATGGTTTGGGGTAATTTGTATGTTGGGTCCCTAACTTATTTTTTTAATTCGGAAGGTCTCTACTGTTTGTTTTTATCGCGTGCTTGGTTCCTGTCTTACCTAAAAAGACTATTTTGCCCTTGATTTTTTTTAATTTATTTAAATAAGGTGGGGATGGTAAGGTGATGTAGAATTGGGCTGGGGTGTGTTTATTTAAATAAATTAAAAAATCAACGATAAAATAGTTTTTTTAGGTAAGACAGAGACAAAGCGCGCAACAAAAACAAACAGTAAGGACTTTCTGAGTTCAAAAAATAAGTTAGAGACCAAACATGCAAAATTACTCCAAACCATAAGGACCATTCGTGTAATTTACTCAAAAGTAAATAAATGCGCTCTTGAGTTTTTGGAAATGAAAAGACAAAAAAGTCATTTAAGCACATTTCTCTTCTAACACGAGACATTGATGAAGTTGAAGGTGAAATGGAAAGACAAAAAAGTCATTTAAGCACATTTTCCTTCTAACATGAGACGTTGATGAAGTTGAAGGTGAATAGTCGGGGCAAAAAACCAGTTAATTAAGCACATTCCCCTCATAATCCGCGTAAAACGGTGAGGATGGATTTGAGCATTCTTTTGTCTTCCTTCCCCTTCCATTTTATTCCTTTCCGTTCTTATATCTCGGATTCTCTCCTTCCAACCTAAAATGAATTCAATATGTTAGGGTTTTTTCCCGCCGCTAATTCAAGAGTTTTTTTTTTGTTTTTTTTTTCTTCGGTGGATATATAATTTCTGTTGATATTTTTCCATTTTTCTAGTGACCCGAACATCTATGCAATTACATAAGGAGTAAGGGCGACTAATTAAAATATTTTTTATTTTTTATTTTTTATGAAACGGCAAACTAACTAATCTACTCCTAAATAACCACTTATGTCTCCACCGAGACTTGAACCCCTGACCTCTCATATGAGATGGTCACTTCCATACCGCTATCAATACCTACTAATTGAAGCTAGCTAATTGGATTTAAATAGCACAACAGGAAAGTGGAAAAACTCACAAATCTTCGTAATTAATAAAAGAAGACTAATCTTTTAGGTCAACCTTCTTATTAATTATATTAATTAAAGGACATGCAAAAACTTATATTTTGACTCTTTTATGTCAAACTTATTACTTTTTGATGCAGAAATTTGACAATGAGTATTAAATTAATTAAACAACAAGCAACAACTTTTTTTATATAGATTAATACAAGGTTCGTAATTTCTCCTGAAAAAAGGTAAAGTTCATACATTTTGAAGTAGAGAATTTGTGGCATTGACACTTTGAAAGTGAAATTTTATCTAGACTACTTTTTAAACATTCAGACAAAACCATTATATATATATATATATATATATATATATATATATATATATATATATATATATATATATATATATATATATATATATATATATATATATATATATATATATATATACACCACTAGAAGCCCTTACAACCACAGAGAGACATATAACTTGATAAACAAGCATGTCGAAAGAGAGTTTTAAGGGGTTATATGTTCGTATCAAGCCTTTTATGCTCATGATCTTCTTGCAAACTTCATATGCTGTTAATGGTTTAGTTGTCAAGTCAGCCTTAAACAAGGGCTTAAATCATTATACTTTTGCTGTATACCGCAACGCTGTTGCAGCTCTTTTCTTCAGTCCTTTCGCTTTCTTCCTGGAAAGGTATGTGATTTTACATGCAATCATGTATATGAATCCGTAATTTTTCCTTTTTGTTATCATTTCTTTGCGGATGCAAACAGGAAAGTTAGGCCAGAAATGACAGTTTCCATCTTCCTGAAGATCATGTTACTGGGATTACTAGAGTATGTATTCTATATTCTGGTTTTTCTTGTGTAAGAAAGGAATTCTAAGTTTTCAAGAATGAATGATTTTGCATGTATTATCCATTTATATATCCTCTAACTGATGCTTTATATTGAATCACAGACCAGTGATCGACCAGAACTTGTACTATGCTGGAATGAAATTTACAACGGCGACTTTTGCTACATCTATGTGCAACATACTTCCTGCCATTACCTTTGTCATGGCTTGGATGTTTAGGTATTCTTCTTGTTCCTCAGGCAAGTTGCTACGTACGTGATTATATTAACTTTAGTAAACTTTAATTTGTGACAGCTACAGACATCCTATGTTTTTTGGCAGCTTACAAGATATCATGTCTTTTATTTATGCGTGACCAATATTGTGAACTAGGCCTTTATATTTTGTGAACCTTAATGTATACCACCGTGCACCAAGTCTTTCAAGCTTCAAAGATATAACAACAAGAGAAACCTTTCTTCGCAACATTTTCTCTTACAAATTAATATAATATTTTGTGTTTTAAACCCGTTTAGATAGGAAAGTAGCATTGATAATCATCCCAACAAATGTGGTCGTCTGATAATTTCTTTATTTTGGTAGACTTGAGAAGGTGAAACTAAGGAGTTTACATAGCCAAGGGAAGATCATAGGGACAATAGTGACGATTGGTGGAGCTATGATAATGACATTAATAAGAGGCCCTGCAATTCTATTTCCATGGACAAATCATCATCATCATCATCCTCTTCATCATCAATCTACGGTTAACACCATGAGTACACAAGATCAGATCAAGGGATCTCTCATGATCACTGTCGGTTGCTTTTCTTGGGCGAGTTTCGTCATCCTTCAAGTAAGTTTTCAGTCCAAAATTCTAGTTCATAATTATTATATTCTAAAAAATAGATGAAGAGAACAAGAATTTCATATGCGGATGATGTCAATTTTGACTAAACACACAAATAGAGATATTTCATGATGAAAAAACCGTCACAAGATATATTTCCGTCATTATTGACATGTTAATTAAGAGTATTTGTAGGGACAATATACACTAATTTTTATGTTTCTTGGTTGGAAAAAGGCAGTGACATTAAAGTCGTACCCAGCTCAGCTTTCCCTCACAGCGCTTGTGTGTATGATGGGGACATTAGAAGGGTCCATACTTGCACTTGTAGTTGAGAAGACCAATGCCTCAATCTGGTCAATTAACTGGGATATCAAATTATTTGCCGCTATTTATGGTGTAAGAAAAAAAATAATATTATCCTTCAGACCTTCACATTTTAGTTGACATTATCATTTATCAACGTCATATCAATTTATAATAACTAAGAAACAAGCTTTATGTGTAAAAGAAGTTACAATATGTTTCTCTTCGTGAATTATCTTGTCACATGAGATCGTGATTATTTGACTAATTTTCTCAAACATCTTTTATGTGGATGCAGGGAATAATGTGTTCCGGATGCGCATATTACATTTCGGGTGTGGTAATGCAAGAGAGAGGACCAGTTTTTGTGACGGCTTTCAGCCCACTTGGCATGGTTATTATTGCCATTTTGGGGTCTTCCATTTTAGCTGAGAAATTGAATTTGGGAAGGTATATTTAAAAATATTTATCAGTCTCATGTATTTCTATTTATAACGTTAATTGAAGTATATTTTATTTTATTTTTTTAGAACAACTAAAAGTAGTTGAACTTTATATAAGTATATACCTAATTAATGAAACTTTCTTTCCCACGTACGTTTAATGGATATTAATTTCCGAATTTTGATTTGTAGTGTTGTTGGAGCGGTTGTAATTATGGTTGGACTATATTTGGTTATATGGGGGAAAAGCAAGGATCAAAACAAACAAGACCTTGAGTTGTCTTTAAATGAACAACACATAGATGGTGTGAAGACGGCGACGTTTAAACACAATGTTGATCTCGTTAATTCTGACGGAAAACCATCTACTGATCTTGAAGTAGTTTAAGGACATCGTTTACATCATTTATTATTTTTTAGGATCAATTGCAAACGGACACCGAGTCAATTGGGTTGATCCATAAACTCACTCAACTAATTTCAAATTCTTGGTCAACCGACTTTTGAACATCAAGTGGTTGACTCATTGCTCTTGTTTATGTTCCTCATAATCCCTCGTATGAATTGCACTAAGAGGTGTACTCACAACTTACCATTCATTTTTTTTGTCGCGTCAGTTTTCCATTCACTCACATTTCAGTCACAAAAAGTTAGGAAACGGTCACTTTTCACTTTTATTTTTTAAAAATAAAATTAATTTTATTTTAAAGTTTATAACTAATAAATAAATAAAATTAATTAAAAGAATGATTAATAAACACAAAAATTAGTAAAAATAAAAATATTTCATCACTTAAAAATAAAAATTACATAATAAAACCTAGAAAACATAATTAAAATTAGATAATAAAAATAATAAACCATTATTAAAAAAAATATGGCACTTTGAATCGTCATCCTCGTTATCCAAATACTCGCCCGAGTCCTCGATGAACATATCTGAATCTTCATCCGATTCATGAAACAAATCATCGTGCCAAATAATCGGCCTCGGGCTATATGTAAACCCTGTAAATGTGCTCCACCAAATCCGCACGAAAGGAGTGATGAATGTCGCGATCATATACTTATCTTCTATTTGCCCTATACTCTTGCGTACTAACAGCTACTCCTTTTCCGTTTGGCAAAACTTCGTTTAGATGGGGTTTGATAAACTAAAAATGATCTTTTGTGAAAACAATTTTAACGGCAAACGGAAGACTTTTAAAAGTAACTGAGCATCTTGATCTTCCTGCCCAATTGATTTTCGACTTCATGTTAAACTCTTTGAACTTTTCAAAGGTTTCTGACTTGTGCTTGATTAAGTAGATATATCCATATCTGCTATAATCATCAGTAAAAGTCACATAAAATCGATTTTCATCCCTTGTGATGGATCAGAAGGGCCCACACACATCTGTATGTATGAGATCCAACAATCATTCACCTCTTTCATAAGAACCAGTGAAAGGTGATTTAGTCATCTTTCCAAGCAAACACGACTCGCATGTATCATCCGACCTTAGGTCAAATGATTCCAACACTCCATCCTTTTGGAGTTGGGAAATGCGTTTCTTGTTAATATGTCCAAGACGACAATGCCACAAGCATGCTTTGTCTAAATCATTAGACGCATCAATTTGTAACACGTTATTTCCTAAATTGTCTACAACCATCACAGTTTCATATACACCATCACAAGGCAATGCTTCAAAATAAAATACACCATTATAATAAGCATTAATAGAACCAATTTCATTATTAAATGAAAATCTAAAACCTTGTCTGTACAAACCATGAAAAGAAATAATATTCCTCGTCATTTCTGACGAGTAGAAACAATTGTTCAAGTCTAAACATATTAAGCAATAAAGAATAAACGTCGATCTTTGTAACAAGTGATGATCTCCTATTGCCCATTATCAGGTTCATCTTCCCGTGCCCCACATCCCTACTTCTTCTTAGTCCCTGCAAGTCAGAGCAAATGTGAAAACCACGTCCTGTATCAAGGACCCAAGAATTAGAATGTAATGAGTTTTTAGACATAATAGTGTAAATACATGCCGTGGTAGGCTTGATCTTGCCATCCTTAATGTCTTGCAGGTACTTGGGACAACTTCGTTTCCAATGTCCCTTGTCTTGGCAGTAGAAGCACGTTGCTTCCTTTGGATCTGAAGAGGGAAGGGCAGAACCTGATTTTCCTTTGGATTCACTTGAGGACCCTTCATGAGACTTTCCCTTCCAGTTTGACTTAGAGGGGCTTTCCTCTTTTTCCCTTTTCCTTGTCCAATAGACAGGACTGGAGCAGCAGCTACAGGAGTGGATTCAACAGATTTTCCTTTCAATCCACTTTCAGCAGTTCTCAGCAAGCCTTAAAGTTTGCTCAAGGTGACTTCCTCTGTGCTCAGATGATAAGTAATTTTGAACTGATCATAGCAAGGAGGCAATGAGTGCAGGACTGTATCAATAGCCAGCTCCTCATCAAAGTTCACATTCAGTTTTAGCAAACGATCCACATATCTCAGCATGCGTTGCAGGTGGGTCGTGATGAACTCTCCATCCTTCATCTTGGCAGTAATGAATGACATGACTATCTCATACATTTCTTGACGTGCTCTTTGATGGTACTTATCCATCAAGTCCTGGCACATCTCATAAGGCCAATAGTCTTCATAAAACCACTGAAGCTCAGGAGTCATAGTCGCCACCATAATGCACGACACCTTAGTGGCATCCTTGCATTGGGCCATAAACTCAGCAATTTCCGCAGGAGTAGCTTTGGTTTCGTCTATCTTGTTCATCTGTTTGTTGAAGACGTATTCCTTGTCCTCAAATCTCAAGGCCATTCTAATGATGCGAATCCAATCATTAAAATTGGATCCATCGAATGTCACCTTGGCACAAATGCTCAAGAGCGAGAAGGAGTTGTTGTTGTTGTTGGAACCAGAAGCGTTGTTTGAGGTAGACATCTGAAAAAGAAGAAAGACAAGTTTTGATTTGATATGGAAGTCCTTAATATAACACCCAAATGAAATATTAAGGATAGGACCCATCACAATAATTCACAATATAGAAAAGGGATGTCGTAATCTAATTGTAAATTATTTGAAGGTAGGTAAATGACGATTTACCAATTCCACCAAGAAAACGAAATTTAAATGAATTAGGTTTTCAATGAAATGAGATTCCTTGATCCTTTGAGATTCATTGAACTATTCAATGGCATGTTTAATCTCGATTATGCCCTTCAAGTTTGTGACTGGGATACCGAGGATCACAAACAAAGTGTGAATAACCATGCAAATTAGCTTGGTACTCTCGATGTCATTTACCACCCAATCAATGTGTCAGTTAACCACACACGCTCCATTGATCAATGATAATTTACGAGTTATCCATTGCCACCCTTTGTTAGTCCAAGTTAGTGTGTCGGTTAACCACACACGCTACACTAACGACTTGACAAAGTGAAATGTGAAATTTCATGGATTAGCATCAAATTCACATTTTCCTAAAGTAAATAAGATTGGGAATTTATAAAAAAAATTAGTTACTTTATATTTATCATTATACTTATTAATGAGGAATTAATTTCCTATCCTACTCGTTCGGGTAATAACCCTCCACTAGTCAAGAGTGCGGTGGGTAAGAATTGATACCTAATGTCGGTCATTTTACATGCCGCTTCCTTAAACACCCCTTATAGACCAACTTTGTGAATGAGGCCTACTAACGGTAAGACTGACTTTCTTATACATATATATAAATTAAACTTTTAATATTATAATAGTATAAGGGTGTATTTTAAACTTTTAAAATACTAGGGTTCCAGAATTTAATATTTCAAAATTAATCTTTTAATTAAATTTTAAATTCCAAAACTAAAGGGTGTAATTTGAAACTTTTCAAAATTACTAGATCAAATTTTAAATAATTAATTAATCAAATAATTTTGTCATTATCATAAAATCTGACCAAATCAATCTTATTTGATAAGGAAATCAGATTACCATTCAGAAAGGTCAATTTAAGGCATTAAAAACGAATTATGGTAATTATCCTAATCCAAACAAGATCTGAAAATTGAAAAATCAGGCATCTGACGAGTCAACTCGTTGAGTCAGGCTATGAACTCGTCGAGTTCATCATAGAACTCGTGACAGATTGAGAATTATATTTGCTTAAGCTTTGGACAATTCACAAAAGCATCAAATTCAATTGAAAAACATCCTAGGCTCTGATACCACTGATGGGTTTTGAGCATAACAACATCCTATGTGATCACGCAACCCTAATTACTTTGGATCTAAGTTTATCACTAATTGAACATGCAAAAGAAATTTCAAAGAAATAACCCTAGATCTAGCATATATAATTCGAAATTCATATATAAAAAGGTTAAGAAGATTACCTTTCTTGTTATATAGCAATAACAAGAATTCCTTGATTGATCTTGACTCTTGAAAGATTTAGTGCCTTAATGGCTCACAAACACTTGTAGCAAGAGGATGAGAAGGAGAGAGGGGGATACTCTAATAATTTCGGCTAGGGTTTCTTCAAGGAAGTGGTGTCCGAAAATCACAATACATGGGGTCTTTAAATAGCTGGTGGGTTGCTAGGGTTTCTGGAGGAAACCCTAATCTCCTGCTTAGGGCTTATGCAACCTATGGACTTCCCACTAGGAGGCCTTAGAAGAATTCTATAGGGCCTCCTTATAGATTTTTTCCACTCCATTCCAAAGGAGTCCAACAACCCAGTTTTTCAACCATCAATGATTTGCAAAACAGTCCCCGTTCTTTTAATCAGTTCCTTTAATCCCATAATTAATTCCAAATTAATTTCTGATCAAAATACTAATTAAATAATATGATTTCTAATTAATATATTATTCTCGTAATATATTAATAAATCATTTATTAACCTCTTTCACCATAAGTCGACCTGTCAAGTTGCTAAAGTGAAGGCAACCCAAAAGGACCATGCTACTACCAAATCAAGTACATACCAAATATAGTTATGGACTTAGACACCTAATCCAACATCTTGTCCCAACAAAGAGGGTTTCCAAAACACCTCATGGGATGTGGACAGGGAAAGCTCCCTCTCTCGCACATATCAAGGTCTGCGGTTGTAAAGATCTCGTAAGACGAGCGACTCATGAAAAACTTGAACCTAGAGTCACGAAGTGTTATTTCATTGGCTATTCACAGAAGTCCTTTGGATACTTAATCTACAGTCCTAGTGAGAACGTGGTCTTTATAGCTTGAAGAGGAGTCTTTTGCAAGAGAGATCTCATATTTAAAGAGGACAGTTGAAGTGCTATTGATCTTGAATAAATTCTAGAGTCATCCAATGTAGGAACCTCAGACAACACTGACACTCAACATGAGGAAGAAATTCCAGTTGATCCAGTTGACAACTTATTACCCTTTCGTCGATCCAGTAGTGTTAGCATGCCACCTGAGTTCTATGGTTTCCATATAACTATAGATGGTGATACATTTGTTAGTGATCGTACACTAGTATATTTGGATGA